TTGTTCTTTGGCGATTGTCGGTCTTAAAGACGAGCGGCCGACGCGTCCCGTCCCCGATTTCACATTATGCAAGAAAGTTAGTGCCAGCGCACACGTATGATGTCTCATTTCCTGCCGTGCGAGCAGCTGCCGTGAAATCACGAATCACGGCCGCGGTGTGAAATCGCGGCTGTCCGCTCTAGCTTGCTCTCGTTTCGCGCCGATTCCAAACATCCCTCTGACTTGCCCTACGAATTTCTACATCGCGTCCGAATATTTGGACCTCCATGCTGCAGCGTGTTAACGAAAAATTTCTTCATCGAGGAAATGATCGAGATAAATGACATCTTGCATTAGTCACAGACCGAGCAACAAGTAATTAACCTTTCAGCTGTGGCATGCTTCAAATGATCATTCAATGTGTGCGGGACGATAATCGTGAATCGACCTCACGGATGCGTCACCCGAATTAATACTGAACAATGTAATTTCTGCATGCAATGCAAGAAAAAGTTCGCAAGAATTACTTCGCTTACTCGAAGTTATATCATGGGATAAAAATTGGATATCTGTGATAAATAAAGACACTTAACATATCCCTCCCTTACTTCGTATTATAAAAGTAACGTAATTCAAAAACTGTGATTTACAAATTACATAAGATACTTGAAATTAGCAGTGAAAGGTACGATAGGCGATTGTTTCGAAGGCTTTCCGCTGCCGGAGAGATACTACTAACGTGCAGCAAATCTTAGCGTTCGCTTATCACATACGAGACTTATACACACGCGCGTATAATACGTACACCGTGAAACGAGCGGACATCGGTTAGTAGGGGCGTCGTATTATCGGACAAGGATCGACGTATCCGTGCCGGTATGCAAGCACTGCGCCGCGACGCATCTGCGCCGTGGCCGAAAAGGCGAGCGTGTGCACTCAACCACCGCAGGTTTCACCGAGTAACACCGGGTTAAAAGGAGGGTGCGTATCTCGGAGAGATAGCGATCACCGGCGGTAGCCAGGACCGACCGCGACCGACCGGCTGGCCAAGATAAGAATCAGATCAAACGAGGGCAACCCCTTTCGCTCGCGCCCGTCCGCCTTCTTCAACCTTCTTATAGCCACCTTGCGCCGGATTCGACTGCCCTCGTGCGTATGCGTGCGTGCGTGCGTGCGTGCGTGCGCCTCGTCTGTATTTCTTCACATCTCACCCTCCGATTCGCCTTACGGCGCACAAGAATATCGCCATCTGTACCTCATTAGCCTAAGCGGTACAAACAGCCTGTGGTCTCTCACCTTCGCACGGCTGCGCTAAGCCGCCTGGGGCGTCTCCGAGTCGGCTTGAGCCGAATCGAATCGAATCGACTCGACTCGACTCGATTTGCACCCGCCACCCACCACCCGACCGTCATTATACAGAATTATTACGTTGCTACTAGAGTAGAAAGCCGCCGGGCATCCGGAAGCACGAGACTTGCTGATTTTTGACGTCGCAATCACGCGTACTGATGAGGAGAAATCTCCCGCCTGTAGAATGTTATCGGTCTTTCAAGCACGAGATTACTTAGGATGAATTCCCAGTAGCCCTGTTATCTCTGTGATGGATCGTAGTTGAGCAAACTGAACACCGAGGCCCGCATTTTGTGGCCCCGCGAGAAAATGCGAATAGCTGAAGATTAGAAGAGGATCGTGTAGCGAAGCAGCCGTACGCATGACATCAAATTTTGCAATGTTGAGTAGTTGACAGGTAGATAGTTTGAAATCTGTGGCACGCGAACTATTTTTATTTTTACGTAAGTTGAAGATGTAGCTACTTTTAAAATTTACATACAATATTACTAGGCAAATATTACTAAGTAAGAACCAACCTTGATCGTATTTGACGCTTTTTTATCTATTTGATTTATTTATTCATGGAAAGGATTTATTTGATTTATTTAGCAGAAAAAACTAATCAATGAGCGTTCAGCGATTCTTTAATATGATTGGTACCTACACTAAAATCCAGCGAAGAAGGCAGAAATACTAATCTGCAGTTTTCTCTGCTGCATGAATGCAGCCATTCTAGGAATCAACTTGAGATTAATTAGGGGATCCTTATTTTTAAGTCTGTATTATCTCATATAGAATAGAAGTTTCCAAGGGACGTTCTGAAGGATGTCCTGAGAACGTTCCCAGGAAGATTTCTGAGATAAAGTGTGCTGTATGGGATTTAAATTTTTAAGTACTTCAATAAAATCGTTCTTTCTTTTTTGTTTATGCAATGCCCAGAGAGAGTGTAACTTATTATTTTTAAGAAGCAAAATAAATTATGATTGCTCGTTATTGAAAATACAATATAAACTCTAATAATAAAAACGGCCAAAGACGAGGTTATAATACAGGATTATAATACAGTTAATAGTAATTAAATTTAACCTGTCAGATATATTAAAATTTTGAGCGAAACTGATTTTGACAATTTATTATTTTTATTTTTATTCAATAGAAAAGAACCGAATAAAGAATAGACTAGGACAGAATAGAATAATTCATAGACGTGTATGCGTTTTCTTTTCAAACGTCTCTTCGTAATTACGAATTCATTAGAGCCGAATTTTTCTCACTATTACAGTCTCTTACAATTATTCCCTCCTCGATATTTCTCGCGCTTGTCTGACATAACGACCCGTAAACACGGATTTCAGCTGACAGTCGTAACAGCGCGATGAACATCGGAGACGAATAATTTCTAGCGATTATCCTCGAAAGATGCAAGACACGGACAGGTATCTGAGAGATGTTTCAGGAATCAGCCTTTTAACGCGGCTGCCGTGCGCGGTCGCCACCCACGCCGACACGAATACGGATAGGCACAGGTAATACACCGTGTACAGAGGCACGACAATGGTCGTGTCGCACAATGAGAAGAAGACGAAGGGAAGCAGCGCATTGAAAAGCAAATGAGACCCGGCGAAGCCTCACCGGGGCCAGTGCTCTTCTTCTTCTTCTTCTTCTTCTTCTTCTTCTCTTCTTCTTCTTCTTGTCCTCCTCCTCCTCCTTTCCCGCTCTCAACGTACGTCATCTCTTTTCTATTGCGCACCCACATCCGCTGCTGCCTTTTCAAGTAGCACCCCAAAACACACCTTACGCAAATTAATGTCGCATGTTAACCAGGCTCGAATGACCGGTACGACGGAGTGCTTGAGGACAGTCGGGCTCGTCATCGTCGTCTTTAATAATGATTCATCGCCATACGGCGCGACTAATTGTTTACCGGTCGTTCACAATGCCAGCCAGCCAGCCAACGAACACTTCTGGCGACGTCGATACGCGCTTACCATACATATGCATTTGTGTACCTTTCTTTCGACCCGGCCGCCGTTTTCCACCTCTCATTTGTAATTTCTCCCGTTCAACGTTGCGCGCGCCTTCCGTCTTCCCGTCGCTCACACTTGCATTACGTTATACTCTAGTCATTCGAACTGGTAGTCGAATATTTCGTTAATTATGGTTCCTGACTCACGTCCGGCTTATTTGGTTCCGCAATTCTTTACATAAGTCGAGTTTTACATACTTACATTAACTCTTTCTTGGACCAGAAAAAACAGGAAGTAAAACTTTAGCTAAATATATTATAGATTTGAAAATAATTTTATTAAACTATCAAAGTGATTATGTAGGACGTTCAGAGCTGATTGCTAGAATATTAAATTATTTTGTTTTTATCCAATTTTTGCCTCTCATGTAATGAAAAAAATCTTTCATGTCAGTAATAAAAAATGTTTTTTTTCCATATTTATAGGTAAAAATCACTATTATTTTACTGGCTATTATTTGTCACAAATATGTTTTAATATAATTGTACAAAAAAAAGTATCAGATTTCATTTGAATGATGTCCTTAACATACTTTGTTCGCGCAGGTTACTTAAGCATAATATGATCCAAATTAATAATGCAACAGTTATTAATTCAACCGACCTAATAATTACAACTCAGGTTGATTATTCACAAGGTGTACCTTAGATCTAAGCGTTACGTTTTGCGTGCGGGCTTAGATAACATCCTGTTACAAATAGTAAATGTAAAGTGTTAATATATTAATGATAACTGGAACCGTGAAATAAATAGTGGAATCGTATATTGTTGTATATTGTTTTCGAAATTACCAGAAACAACTACCATCTTATAGTGAAATTCAACTGTGTTATAAGGTACATTTTTCCACCAATAATGTTCATAATTAAGTTAACATTTTTATTATCCAAGTCATTAAGTTGGAAATATTTCAAAGTTTAAATTTTATGTGTAAAAGTTACTTAAATCTCCTGATATGAAATATTCGAAGCAATATATCTACAGTAGATACATGAATTTGTTATGCAAACGTCGTTATTGACTGTTGATTCGATTTTATAGGCATACATAAAATATATTTTATTTATATAAATATAAAAATTGGAATATTTTACATTTGTGAATTATCCATTATAAAACTTGCGAATTTAAAGATGTTTGAAATCTTTTTATTACAAATTCTGCATTAAATATTATGTATTTATTTAATGTGATTTATATTTATTTTTATTTAGAATTGAATACGAATAATATTGAAATATTGTAAAAGACAGAGAGAAGTGCGAATCATATGTAAACAATATAATTTAATTATATTTATAAAAAAATTAAATTTCTTTAAATGCGACTGATCAAGAAGTTTGAATGAAAAAAAAATTTACATATATGTATATCCGATAAAAAATTCTACATGTTTGAAGAAATAAAAAATTGTCCATATATATATATAATTAATAATATATATAAAATAATATAGATATTATGTAATCACAATTTTATTTTTTGTGAAGAAAAGTAATGTAAAAGTTATTTTTCTAATAATTTTTCTTATATGAATAGAGATTTTACAGAGATTAACACCAAAAAAAGAAAAAAACATACATGAACATATTTTATATATATAATTGTATTTGGTTATATATATATAAATATCTTTTACCAGAAGAAATAGAAAAACACATATTACGTCTAGATAACTTTTATTAACCAATATAATCGTGTATCGTTACAAATGATGCGGCAACGATGACGTACCGATGTAACTCGGGTTACAATGAAACTGGTTTTAACGGTATACAATGAAAATAGGAATCGATGAATGAGCGAATTGATGAATTTACAGACGTATTCGTCGCTACTCGACATTCGAAGAACTGCTTACACCACAACATGTAATTTATACTTTTACGGTATTTTATTTTATTTTATTTCTTTGTGTTCCGCCTGTCATTATCGCCTGCTCCGACGAAACGTTAACTTCTTCCGTTCTGTGCCTTCCATTGTCCTCGCTTCCTCCTCGATGTGTCTCTGGTAAATCCATGAGTGATGTCACTTGTACGCACGTGTGTGTGTGTGTGTGTGTGTGTGTGTTATGTGTTTGTGTGTACATTCTGTTGCTTAAAACTGCGTGTATACGTGTACAAACTGTAATTATACTCGAAGACATCGAAAACTCACTACATTATGTTAAATAATAATGCGTCGCGGATTTACTTCCGGCACGCATGCAAATTCCTTTTGTTCTTTCTTCATCTGTTTCTTGTGGATTCGCGACTTGGTGAAATTATAAAAGTATATATGTATAAAGTTGCTATAAATATACTATGCAACTCAAAGTGCGTTCCATTTCACGCATGATGCTCGTAATATATCATTTCATCCTAATCGTTCACTGAATATTAAAGATAAAATAATACATCATGCACATCATGCGCGAAACGAAACGCATTCTCCGTAAATATGGAACATAATTGAAATAAAATTGCGCGCATAATAATATGAAAGAAAATCTCAGTTGTTTGCTGCAAAATGTTGAGTAGTATATATACGATTTATTAGGTTGATAATGTCATTAATTATCGTGTGATAAACATACACGAGTTACATGTAAATAAAAACTTGTATAATAAATAAAATAGCGTTTGTATGAATTTGCATGAATAATTCTATGAATGTAAATAAACGCAAAAGATGTAAATTAACATCATTGCACAATTTGCAATTAAATCAGGCGAATCTCATTTACATTCATTTTCTATCGCAAATCCGCGACTCATTAGTTAGGCTTACGGCTACTATCGAGATATTGATGTACATATACAAGAGAATCGTGGGTTTTTCTCCTTACAACACGGGTTAAAGTATACAAAGACGTTGTTTGTCGAAGAAAAACGTTTCACGTGTTCTTCCGTTCTTCTTCCTTCTGCCTATCTTTTTCTCTCTCGCTCTCTCTCTCTCTCTCTCTCTCTCTCTCTCTCTCTCTCTCTCTCTCTCTCTCTCTTCTCACTCTTTTTCACTCTTCAATCACGCATACATATATTGGAACTACGCACTCGTTCACATTTTTTAAACGTGGAAGGGTTCAGTTTCATATATATCTTCTTTATAGTTTTTCTCTTTACGAAAAATCATCAATTAAGGATTGCTGGTTTTCTTTCTGCATTTGCGCGTATCTTTTCTCTGTCCATCTTAGAATCCCTTCTATCATTCGTTTCGGCTTTGTTGGTCCGGTGTGGCAGTGCCTTGTTAATTAATTTATTTCTCGTAATGAAATTGTTGCTTTATGTTGTCATTGTGGTTTTGTGCCTTCTGTGACGTAATTGTGCAGAGTGTTGACGAAACGAAAAGATTTTAAAAAATCTCTACAAATAACTAAAATTTATCTCTCATAGAGTTTGTGATGATGTGTTTTTATAAACGTGTTATTAATCAACAATTTAGTACACACAATTTTAAAACATTAATTTAAAACACATTAAAACACATTGATTTAACTATAATTAACCAAAGATTAATGTGCATACAAGCTGATTCATCTATTTTTTTCTAATTAAATCTAATTTTCTAATTTTAAATAACGACTGAAATATGAGACATGCATGAGTGTTGTTTTGATTTATAGAAGTTCATAAACGTTTATCTTTGTACTGATATATACATTTTTTTTTCTAATAATAAGTTAAAATACATATTGTGTACTTTTTGCCACACGTATAATTTTAGAAAATCAGCTTATATACTTTCAGTAACTTTGTGCATAATTAAAATAACAATTAAAAAAATATTAAAGATTTATTGAATTACTCTGTTGGCAATGTAATGACATTCGTTTCATAGACACTCTGCTGAATAAATAATTTGCTGACAAAAAGAGTAATTATTATTATTATTTACATGTTGCACGCAACACTTCAACTACAATTGCGTACATCAAAATTAGTACAAGTCTTCATAATATATATATATTTATATTTATATCTATATATATTTGTATTGTGTTTACTTTTTAATATCGTCTTTGGATTATAATTACGTTTAATCGACCCTTAATGGCTGATTTAGTAAGCTTGTGGTGCAACAATATTTCTCTCATATTTCGCGCACGGAGAGAGGGCGTTTCTTATTATTTATATTATTTCTAATAATTAAAATTCAAAAGCTAAAGACGTTGACTGGTGTATAATTATGATTTCTGTCAAGATTTCGAGATGTCTTGTGTATTATTGTTTAATTCTCATTGCGCGAAAAAAGTTTTACTTAATAAAATTTATATATTTATAAATTTTATTAAATAAAATTTAATGTGTGCTTTATTTCTCAGGAGAAGGGAGTATTTTCACAAGGATTGTGGAGGAATTCACAAAGTATAGTCTCTATACGATGAACGTTATCTTTTCTCAACGATCTACATACGATATCAATAGCGAAGTAAATGCGAAAGGTCGATCTCTTTGAGATAGGCTTAAACACTAATCAATAATGATGACAATAATTATCTCTTATATTTTCGTGAGTGGTGTGCGAGCTCCTTTATTTATGTGAACCGATTATAGTCTTCGTTTTTTTTCTATCCCCCCCTCCCCCCCCTCCAGAAATTCTCTCCCTTAACTCTTTCAGGGGCTGAAAAAGTCAGCGTATTTTGTGCAGGATCTCCGAAAGAGAGAAGCAGTACTAGAGCGAAACTTAGGCACTGTAGTTCACAAATTAAACCACATCGCACCAACATAGAAACGCACAAATGTCGTGGCACCTAATACATTATACTGTGACTTATACGTGAAGTATACAAGCTGCACCGTCGCCCCTCAAAGAATTAAGCCATTCACAATGGAAATCTTTGACGTTTAAACATCGTATCGTCTGTCAGAATAATTAGCTGAAAGAACAAATACGTACGAATCGCTTTTCGACGAAAATAAGCCTTTTTAAACGCAAAAGTCATTATTGACTTCCTTCGCGCTGCTGTTACGTACGTTTTAAAGTCACATAATCTGCATCATAGAGCGTAACTTCCGCTTACGTTCGTGAAAGCTTTTCGAGTATATATCATTCATTCAGAGTACTCGGCGAGTATGAAACAAAATATTCTCTATACACTATCGCTCGTGTTGGCTTCTAACACGGGTCTCCTTCCTCCTTCCTCATTGACTCCTCGTACAATGTTATTCTTTAAATGTGCGCCTCTCCGTGTGCCAACTGCTCGCGATGAAGATACGACAAAGGTACACGATATCGTCGGTATGTTCATTCAAAGTGAACGAATATTCAAAAAGTGTCGATAAAGGGATTCGTAAAATTTCAAAAACAATTTTGTACTCTGCGGCACGCAACAGGAAACGACGATGGAGATCTTGCGTTTGCAAATGTCCCTTTTGAAGAGACGGATCTCTCGTTAATTGCGCGCTCTTGAATGCGAGGAAGCACTCGCGATTTGTGTGAATGAAGCGTTTCGAGAACAAGAGGATCTTTCGCGAGACTGAAACGTCGTTCGATTTGCTTTCGTTAAGCAAATAACGCCGCGAAATTATATCCTGTTCTTCGTCGAGCCTCTTTTGAAATTTCTGCAGTTAAACTTCGACCGCGAAAAATGCAACCACGACGATTTCGCTCGTTCCACTTGCGATGATTATGTCACACGTCGTGTGCATTGATGAACAAATCTAAGAGCTCCCATTATCTTTTACGATCGTGAAATTATTTCAATAAAATATGGAAAGGCGAAACCGTTTGCTTCGACGGTCAGCTAATTTGATACGGCGAATTCTGATACCAAATTAATTAACGTCTCGTAAGATATACGTATATCGGAAAGCGTAAACCAAACACGAGATAAACTTAGAGGCTAATCCGCTAATCTCATCCGCTAAATATCGATGACTTATAAAAATATTTAAATATTTACTTAAAGATACGTTAACGTACGAATAGAAGGAGATTCGCCGCCAACGCCGACTCAAGTTTTCACAAAAGTATATCACAGCGATCCGACATATCCGTAATGAATGAAATAAGAAAAATTTCGGGAAATATATCGAACAATTTAAATTCCCGCGAGTGAACCGAATTGTCTACAATGCTCTTGATAATGCACAATGGGGCGAGGGTACATATACGGTACATATAACGTTATACATATAAAAGTAGAAAATTTAGTGGCAGTATATAGAGATCGTGTAAGGTGAGAAACGCGATGAAGGGAAATGCGTATGCGCTAACGTTTTTGTTGTTTTGTGCTTCGTTTACGCCGAGATTGGCGAAAGCCTGTCTGATTGACAAGATATTTGTCAATCGTCCAGATCGTCATTAATCCGTCCTTCTCCCTGTTGTCTCTATTGATCAATGCTAACAACGTAAAAAAAAAAGAACAGAAGAAATACAACATACACAAAACAGGAGACAAATAAACAGTTTTGCAATTCGGCACGATCATATTTAGCTCCACTTTACGCGAAAGCTCCTCTTCGAGGATATTAGATCGACCTTGATTGTATCACTGAAGTGCCTCTTCAGATGTCGATAAAGGGTTTCTCAACGAGATATATCTTCAACTTCCAACTTGAATTCTTGGAACTGTTTAACAATTATCAACGACTTGGATATCATCCGAAGATTTCTTCGTGCAACAAGCGTGTCAGACACGCTGCATATGTTCGTTTATTCCGGCTGATCCGTCATTTTGCAATTTTTCCGTCCGTCGACCTTCCCAATCGATCTTCCACTCTTTCTCTCTCTCTCTCTCTCTCTCTCTCTCTCTCTTTCTCTTCTCAAAAAAACCTTTTTTTTCGAGACCTGAAATCGATGTATGTGATCGAGGTCGTCGAGCATCCTGACCTGCTTGTGCTCGCTCTTTCGTTCCAACCGACGATCACTCCGGACGATTGACTATGACGGGACTCCCCGCTCGTCTACTCCAGACGTGCCTTGTAGCTAGTCTTCCAGATCTCGGCCAGCGTCACGGCACTGTGGAACCTGTGGAAGATGCACAGCGGCAAGGTGACCCTCTGCACAATAGCCCAAGCGAGAAATCCATAGAAATCAAGCTGCACCGGATTGGCGATAACCTTCTGGGGCAAATCAGAAGGAAAGTAACCACCTGTCTGCCAGGTTTGCTGCGATCATGTTCCGGCAGGTGAACTCGCCTGCGCGACACATCAGCGATGAAGAGCATCTGAAGGACCACCTGGGCGACCGATAGCAATCCCGTCACCATCACCAGCAGATTTGGCTCGTGCGTGAAGGCCGCCAGGGAACCAGCGATCACACTAAAGACGGCGTAGACGAAGAGACCAAAAGCGGAGACGCGCAGGAGGATGTCATTGAGGTCGCTTTGCTCCTCAGCCTTGAACTTGAGACTCTGCACGCGAATGAAGCCGATAATTATGGCGATGATAGATAACGCCATTAAGACGCAGTGAGACACATCAGCGAGATAAATCGCGAGCAATCCGAACTCCGGGTGATGGATCAGCACGAAGAACAGTATCAGGCATATCAGGGAACCAACCAGAAGAAGCAGACCGAAGAAGAGACCTTTGCTTGCTCCAACGCAGTCGACTCTAGTGTGACCTGATAATATCTTTTATGACAATTCGATTCTCGAACAAATAGAAAATTATGTTTTTATTTCTAACAAGATACTAAGAAAAATTTGATCTGGTATATTCGAAATAAAAGATTATGATATGAAAAGAAAATTACCTGCATGAGCAAGAGCGACAGCTCTTCGCGATAGCATAGCCTCTAAACGACGTTCAAGATCAGCCTCTGCCAGATGAGGCCAACGCGGATGTCGGCCGATATGCTTCCACATGACGTAGATCACTGCTGCTCCAATCAAACTGTACTCGATTATGAATGGAAATAGATATGGCGCCGCATCCTGAACGATGGTTCCCATGATATTGACGCGTCCGCACGAATTGGACACCGTGCCATCCTCCGTTAGGGCTTCCGCGTAGATACCTAAATTCGGACTCCAGTAATCACTGCTATTTGTTAAATTACTTACATCAAAGATTTGCGGTACCTGAAAAAGAGAGGGAGAAATACTTTAATCTCAGCGCTCACTGTTTTAATAATATTGATTGTGTTCAAACGAATCGAAGCAGCTGACCTACTCGTCGAGCGATTGAATGTGATTGATTGGATCCATAAGTAATAATCAATTATGTTCAATCGCTGAGAATGAACAGGCTAGGTACTTTGTCAACTTGAACTCGCCCATTTATTCGTAGTGATAAAATATAGTAATAAAATATAGTTCGTACTTGGTTGTCTATGTCACTCTGTGGCGCGGTGTTCAGTAGTTCTATCATCTGCGACCATAACGTGGTAGTGGACGGCGTGGTAGTTGTAGTAGTGCTGGTGCTCGTTGTAGTCGGGATAGTGGTGATTCTCTCAGTGGTAGTGGTAGTGGTGGTGGTGCTGGTGGTCGATGGTGTGAACGTGCTCAAGAGAGTGGATAAAGTTGTCGCCGTGGTGGTCGTCAGATTAGGCAACGCGAAGGTAGTGGTCGAAGGCGTTGTCGACGGGGTTGTCCAAGTGGTGGTCGAGGTGGATGTTGGAGACGGTGAAGTGAATGCGTCCGCGATTGATCTAGCTGTCGTTGTCATTACGCGACCCAGAGCAGTGCCGACTGTCACAACCGTGCTGGTGACGGTCGGCGCGACGGTCGTTGACCTCGTAAGAGGAGCCTCTCGCAATTGCGCCATGTCGCGCGGCTCGGTTCCCAATATGGCCCCTGCGTTTCGCATCGAGTGCAGTTTAATGCTCTCTGCAAATGTCAACACATCAATGTATAATCGCCAGTACTTGAACTTGACGTACCACTGCTTCGACAGTTTAAAACGACGATATTGATTAACCCTGTAAATGTAGATCGCTTACCGAGAATCCCCGCCTGAAACTGGCCTAGTTTTTTGTGATACTGAGTGATCTCCTTGAGACTCTCCAGAACCAGCGTGCGTATCCATACGCAAAGATTTGTCGCGACCACGTGCATCAGACCAAAGCGAGCGATGACTTTAAAGCGATGAATATTCAACTGCGAAGAGAACATCATAATGTGCATTTTTTAAGTTCTTTCATCTTTATCAATTTGTTTTACAATTTCATATACATACTCGAGAATTCATGAAGATAAAGTACATCTGCATAAAAGTGAAGATCATTTGCAACACCGGATTAACACCTTGTAGAATTTGATAACAGGGTGATGTAGGTGGCACCTCGAAAAACGCGCCGAATTCCAAACCATTGTATACCATAGTACCAAGTCCAAACGCTAATAAATTACATTTAATCAATTTATTGATATTATTTGCATCAATTATTTAATTGCAAGAATTGTTATAAAAACAACTATTCAATGTCACCGAAAATTGTGGATTTACCTATTGCACCAATTCTAAGGAAGAAGCTTCCATGGCTATGATCATTTTGCGAAGTCTTTCGTTTTCGCAAGACTCGCGCAGCAACGCCAGCTTCAACATCGGTTGTATCCTGAAAAAAAATGATGCCAATAAAATAATTAAAATATATCAGGTCAAAAAAACATTGTCTCAGAAATTTAATTGATTACATTAAAAATTTAAATATGAAAATTAAATATAAAAATTAAAAATTAAAGTTAAATTGCTAGTCAAGTTAACTCTTAATATTACTGTGATAATTTAGTAGAGTTAGCGTTTCAAGACCGAAAAATCATTTCGGCGTGCGTTTCTGGGAATTACCTATGTAGTATATAAATTCACAAAAAAATCATCACAAGCATTAAGATCCAGCTAGACCGTTTAAGGCTTTAATTTCTATAGTTTGTGTTAATTAATAGCTATATGTATTTTTCTATATAATATGTTTTCATATTAAATTTAATTATTCATGAAAGATTAGAGATTCCTTGTGAAAAGCTAATATTTTTAAAGAACCTGAGTAGTCGCTTCTTTTTTCTTTTTATCCTGCTTCTGATCCTTTTCTTTCTTATCTTTTTTCTTATTCTTGTCTTTAGGTTCCTTAGGGGCCCAGCCAGTTTTGGGTGGTCTTGGAGGCGGTGGTGGCGTATCGCTTCCTCTCGCGCAACAAGCGCTCTCTTGAAGGAGGAAGCAGAAGACGTACAACAGGAATAGGATACTCATGCCGTAAAGGTATGTGAAGAATCCCTCGTAATAGTACAACGGCAGTTTGTGCGTCACTACTTCGCTTATCACGTAAGCAATGCACACAACTACGAGTAGCTTTGAATAGATGAAGCTCATGATGATGAAGAGCGACGTTCTGAAATCAGAAACGATATGAGCGTAATAATAACGAAATATTACACCTGACAGATGATAGTCAATCTATATTACAAGAATCAGTTACATTGACAGATAAAAACTTCATCAGATTATTTTGTCGTATCATATATCAAATATGTCATCTCACGAATAATGGTCTTACCCTTTTCTTTTAACAATTTGCACTCTGCTACCCCGTCGTGGCAGGGTGTCCTTTCTGCCTGCATTTTTATCGACGAAAGGTACAACTTCGACTTCCATGATGACGTTTATTAAAAAAAATTCTGAGATAATTTTTAAAATTAAAAATGTTATCTTCTCTTTTAAATGAACGCTTATGTAGTTAAGCTTTGCACAAAATCTTTTAGTATTGCACAATCATTGTTTAGATAAATGTTTTGCATTAATTGCATTAATTGTTTTTAACTAATTAGTTATTATTAATTTAATTATTATTAGCTATTTATTATCGCTGTTTTACACACCATTTGCATTGTGCCCTACTTTGATAAATAAACGAACGTCGATTGTTGTGCTCGTTGATCGTGCAAGTCGATTCGCACGAATGTCCTATTTCTGTTTTCGTCTTTCAATCATAATGACATTCGGGCTCATTGAATTTTCATTGTTTTTACCAAATATAATCCGTGTCCCGGATATTCTATTCAACCTATACGCATATTTTATTATAGCTTATTTTTTGATAATCAGAAAGGTAATAACAAAATTATTAATCGAGCAATCGAACAACCGAGCAATTAATTATGACTATTATGACTATTTATTTATCTATTGACAATCAAAATTTTTCAAAATTACACAATCTATACTTGATAAAGAATACACTGACACACAAGCTTATTCGGCAATACACCGTTCACCATTCATTAATCGAAAATAATACGATGAAATTGACATTTGTGGAGCACAGAATCTGAACACTCGATGGTATTTTAAAAATTAGTATAATAGTTCTGTTAACTTCGATCAAGCACTGTGTGATCTTGGTACGAACTTGATTCGAGTGGCACGATTAATCGAAATGCAGCGAAGCGGTCGATCTTCAATAACAGTTGACCTGGTGCATTCGCTTTTAATCGACGAGCATGACTGCCGCTCGAATATCTCGGACGTACTTATCCGCGCTTCTCATCCTCGTTACGCTCTTTTTCTCACTCAAAGGTTAGGCGGCGCAATCGATAGTCTATATATAATGCCGGTCGTAAACTCTGTGCGATCTCACCGGGAATCAATCGCGCGGGAAATGAGGCTTTTCCACGGGAAAACGGGGCCGCGCAGCGCGCACGCAGGAGGGGCCGCATCGCTCCGCTTTGCCTCGCTCCGCTCCGCTCCGCTTCGCTCCGCGCAATGCAATGACGCCCGCGCGCCGCGCGCCGCGCGACGACACGTATGTATGCGATGCGTATGTCTACGTTGAGAAGGGCTTAACCGCCCTTTGTCACCATGCCTTTGGCATTTCATGGGTTGGGGTGTAGACTTTATTGTGTCCCACACGAGCCTGTACACTCGCGTCAGGGATTTTTTTTCTCCCCGGATGCACGTTAGAGCAGAGGCGGTGATATTTTCCGTCTTACGAGAGCGTGAATCGCAGTTTTTATTTAAAGCAGTCGCTTCAGTCATAATTTATTACATAAAGGGTAACAAGGAGTCATGGAGGGGAGGACATTCATGTGATCACTTGCTTCTAGCGACCGAGTTAGAGACTTTATTCAGCGAAAATATATTGTAGCTCGTTGCTTTTTATTTTTTAACATTGCGTATTTTTATAATTAAATTCTAATAAGGGAATCTCGCGGAGTGTTAAATTCTCATTTTAACCCTTCGCTACAGCAATGGATCATTTGAGTCTACAGCGAAAATTTTTGGACAATTGTACAGTTTATATAATTAGTAATATGAATTTTTAAATTGTAGATAAAAAAAATCGCTATAAAGCGGAGGTTTGCTTGCACTCTGTACTTTAAACAGACAGCTTTAGAATTTATGTGTAATTTTCATAGCTGTAATTGAAGGTTAATGAAACTTTGCAATACATATAGATTATATAAATAGAATTTTGAAAATATTTATTGATGCGAAAGGAAAAAAGGTTTTAAAGGTTCAAATCGCCCTTTATAAGTAAAATAGTCTTTAGCTTTTTTTGTTATATTTAAAAAATTATTCAATATAAATGTTTTATGCAAAAGTTTATAGAAAGAATGATTTTACCTTTTAAATTCATTTTTCCACATCATTATTCTCTAAATTCATTACATTACTGAATAAATATTATAATATAAGATATTTGAGAAAAAGAAACTGGACTTCATTTTGGAGAAGAAAGAAATTTAAAAAATTTCGCTTGTGTCAAAAAAGACAGATTTCAGACGGAAGATTAAAGTCAGAATCTAACATTTCGCGAGTTTTTTCCTTGTAAATTAAAATTCTTTAAACAATTCTATTAAAAGAAAATTTATTATAAATCGATCAAAGCATCTAAGTAACTATTTAGTTATTATATGTCTAGTTTACGTCATTTATTTGTTACGTCAACGTTTTAGTCGAATAAACGCATTAATTACAATACTCGAATGTAGTTCCTCGATATTAATTAGATGAGGAATCGTGTAACTAATCATTCCTAATTGGATTGATCAGGCAGACTTCGCGGCTATTGTTCGCCACAACTAGGCTGGTAGATAGAATGCCTCAATGACAATAGATGAGTTTCTCGTCTTGGATACCATTCGATATCAAGGTCTATTCGCTTCATTAGCGAACTCTTGATATTGAATCATCGAATACGTCATCTCTATAAGTTTGAAAAAATATTTCATTGGTTTCTCTGTATTTTCTTAATATTGAAACAAAACGAGAAAGATTATATCGATTCTTTGAATTCTCGCATCTTGTAACTACAGATTTTATGTAATTGAGGACAAGTCAGCTAATTACGCTCTCTCTAAAACTAAAAATGGCAGTAACATTGAAGAAAAGTGTCTCGCAATCTTTTTTGCTTTACGAGAAAGAAGCAGTGTTGCAGCCAGCCTTTTTCCAGTTGCGAACAAGGAGCGAACGAGAAAATGGAAACAGCGCGAACGTGGAACGGTCCAGACTGACTGGTCGATATCTCGAAGTACCTACTTTCGGTGCCGGTGCTCCTCCCTATTTCCTCGCCCTCTTATGGGCTTAACCTCACCTCACCTCAATCCCTTTCAGGCTCTATCCTTTCTCAAATCCTTTCAAGCATTTCACGGCATTACTTTCCGAGAATCACACCGTTCGAGTATTTGTATTGGGCGTATTAGAAATCACGATTTAAGTCAAGAATCAATTACGCCGCATATTGTATGTAATAGTATAAAATTATGGATTGAGAATGACATAAGCGTTAGATAAATTGTATAGAAAACCGATATTTACATCTCTAATCGATAAATTCTTGTATCTGTCCCACAAAAGACCGTGTCTCTTCAAACATCTATCCGGCCTATTTACTTTGCCTGTCAACACAAGAGAAGCCAACTATAATAATTTTATGATTGGCGATATAATCGAGTTTCCATCGATTCTCTTTGATTATTATAGGGGTTCTTTTATCGATTGATTTCTTTTTGCATCGAGGCAGCGATAGAATTTTTAACAATTGTAATAATTTAAATAAATTTCTTAACTTGCGCGAATCAATCATATTTTTCCGTATTCCATTATATATACACAGAATCCGTTCAACACCTTCGCATTACCGTGAATTTCGTAAAATCACTACGGCACAATTTCGCGCACACTACAATGTCAAAACACAATTTTGCAAAATTGTTACGTATCACTGCATCTCGATATAAATCGCGTCTGTATTTCGCAACACAAATGGAAATTTCAATTTCCGTGTTAATTAAATTTAGGATGAATTGCGCTCGCGTGAGATTTGTGGCGGCACTGTTTTGTGGCGGGCGCAACGCGTAGACTGCCGGTGGCATCGGCTTGAGACCACGTTAATGCAATTGCGACTGCGGCTGTGTAATCCGAGATCCACCTATTGCTTCGTCGCGAAATGCATATGGCTACACTTGTCGTCAAATCAATATTAGTCAATTGAAAAGTAGCGCGCGAACTGTCCGATTTATCCGCGGCTCTATATAGTTTTTGTGTCAACACGTCTCTCTTTCTCTCTGTGAAACCTTTTACCCATACATATGCATATACACACACAAACATATATAAATGCAGACACATATTTTCCTTTTTAGTAGACGTTTGTAGACGTTTAAAACAGTACATAGAAAGAACAGTTTCACTGAAGCGTCTAAAAGTTTACCTGGATACAGATCCAAAAGTAATTTTATTGGACTATCAAAATAATTATGTAGGACATTCAAATTGATTACAAGAACGTCAAAACTTTTTCCAGCACTGCTTATCATGCTTAAGTTTCTCACATAATTAATTTGACAGATGAACAAAATTATTTGCAAATTTGTATCTACCTATGAATTTTTAAATACTTCAGTAAAATCGTTCTTTTCATATATATATATGAAAAAACACAATGCAAGAAAGTAATGAAGAACGCAATGCGTTTTAGATAAAAAACGCGATTTAATAATTAAATTTTTATAATTTATAGGATTTAAATTGTAAAAATAGAATTTTTTCTTTTGATTGAATATTTTAATCAATATTTTTCAGAAGAATAATTGCCATTTATTAGCTACATTATGTACGCCGTACATAGATAGACGAGCAATGCATATCCAGCTGCATACGGGTTAATGAACTACGTCGTAAATAGAAATGCAAACCAAACTAGAGTCTATCTCGTTTCCATTTCGGGACCTCTGTTACTATACCTATTTTCTAGCAAGCCGGATGTTCTTTCCAAAAATAACATGCCCAACACTTTTTATCCTTCTATGAATAATAAGATTAATTTAAGCAAATTTAATGTAAGTTATTTGAATATACAAAAACAATAAAAATTTTATTATAATGCAATTG